CTGATGGACTATATGGAATTGGCAGAAATGACTGGCAGAATCCGAGACCAGGGAGAAGAGTCGGTGGAAGAAGATTGGAAGAAGTTTAAAGACTATTTGCAGAAATACTGTAAAATTAATGAATGTTAAAATGATGTTGGACTGAAAATAAGTGGTTTTGGTAATAAGGTTAATAAGAATATGTAAATATTGATAGTTATATGGATGAAAATATATAGTTATAATAGGTTAAGATACAGAGTTAAGATAAATGAAAGAGGGTAAGGATTTGCTGAAAGGATTTTGTAAACGGGAATACAAAAAGGGGAGGTGTGAGGAGGTCAAGGAAATAAGTAAATGAGCCTAAAGACATTGAAAAATGGACTTTTTCTTCTTTAAAATATTTTTTTTCTATTTTTTTAGCTATCTGTTTTTTGTATTTTGTATCATCCTTTTTTTTCTTTTTATTCTCCTTTTTAGGTCTCTTTTTTGGTATTTTTCTTGTTAGTTTTTTTTTTCCTCTCTCTCTCTCTATGTGTAATTTCTGGTTTAACTTTTTTTTAAAATTCTTTAAATCTATGTTTATCGTAAAATTTCAATAAATATTTTATATATAAAAAAAAGAGCTGGGTCTCTCCAGACCTCCCCCAACCCGGCCAATCCTGCCTTGGAAGAGGAATCATGTGCAACCACGGCTAACATACTGAGCGTGGTGCATTCATGACAATACCCTCTTCAGTCTGAGATTGTAATTTAATTACCACATTCAAAATGACCCAGGTTAATTTTATCCAGAGTTAACAGGAGTTGCTTGCAATTTAAAACCTAGGCAGAGAGAGAGAGGTGTTATGTCTGAATCAGGCCAGAGTGTTTTTCCGCGCAGTGTTTTCCAGTTTGGTATTTTCTATCTAGGGGATTAATTTAGGTTGGGATTTAAATGAGTTTTTGTATTCATGGAACAAGATCCTCCCCTCCCTTTGTGCAGTGGCGGAGGAAGCCTCTCCGGCACCCGGGGCGGGACGCCGAGGGGCGGGGTGAACCACATGGTGGTGCAGGCGTGACGTCCATACAGACTGTGCACGTGAGCGGTGCCCATACAAACTGTGTGCATGCCCTCGGCCGGTCTGCAGCTGGGGGGAGGCAGTGGGCCATCTTGTCACACATACCCCAGAGTGGTACCCAGCGCAGACCCCCCCCTCGCCTCCCCCCATTCGTACGCCCCTGCCTTTGTGTGTTGCCAGAAGCCCTAAATCTGCTCTGGAGCAAAGGAAGAATTTCCAGTGCAGGTTTATAGGGTACACTGTGAGAAAAGAGGGAGGGAAAGCCCTATTTTTTGGGGGGGGGAGATTATTGGGTTGTTTTTGTTTTTATTATGTGTTTTTATGTTTTTATATTGTGATTTTATGTTGTAACCACCCTGAGACCTTCAGGTGTGGGGTGGCATACAAATTTAATTAATAAATCATCATCATCATCAGTGGGTCATCATTTGCCTTTACCTGTCGTCAGGGAAGGGGCCATGGCTTGGTTGCAAGAGTACTTCCTTTGCCTTTGCAGAAGGTCTATGGCATGGGTAGGCAAACTGAGGCCTGGGGGCTGGATACGGCCCAATCGCCTTCTAAATCCGGCCCGCGGACGATCTGGGAATCAGCGTGTTTTTACATGAGTAGAATGTGTGCTTTTATTTAAAATGCATCTCTGGGTTATTTGTGGGGCATAGGGATTCGTTCATATTTCCCCCCCAAAATATAGTCCGGCCCCCCACAAGGTCTGAGGGACAGTGGACTGGCCCCCTGCTGAAAAAGTTTGCTGACCCCTATGGGTTCAGTCAGGGATGGCAGGAGTTGTGTTCCGTTTCCCATCTTCCCGTTTTCCTTGCTCAGGGCCCCGACTTCCAAGAATTCCTCCTGACGAAGCTGATCAACGCCGAGTACGCCTGCTACAAGGCGGAGAAGTTTGCCAAACTGGAGGTGAGGAGCTGCTCAGCTGGCAGGGGTTCCACCGCTTCCTGCCAACTTCCGGGTGGGAGGGGGATTGGGCTAGTCTACACCTCCCTGCCAGCCTCTCCTCCAAGCTTTCCCCATCCCTCTCTCCGATCAGCCCTAAACCCAACCCCGGTTCCCTCCTGGCTGCAGGAGCGCACGCGAACAGCTCTGTTGGAGACCCTCTATGAGGAGCTACACCTCAACAGCCAGTCCATGATGGGCCTTGGGGGAGATGAAGACAAGATGGAGAACGGCAGCGGGAGCAGCGGGGGCTTCTTCGAGTCCTTCAAGGTGGGTGCGTGTGAGAGGGGCCGTCCCTGAGGTAGATGCCTCAGGTGATGGAATCCAAGGGGTGGCTCTGTGGGCCCCCCCCCCAAAAAAAACCCAGAGAAGAAGCATCAGCTTCTATGTCTGGCACGATGTCACAGATGTCTCTGCTCTAGAGAGATCTTGCCGCAAGCCGCAGCTAAATGAAGCTCAGCGGAGGCGGCAAGAGTTGTGCACATGGCGCATGCACAGAGCAGCACTTTACCATGTTGCCCCAAGCTGTGAGACAGGATTCCTCACCCCCACCTGTGCGAGAGAGGTGTGGGGAGCAGGTGACGTCACTCAGGGTTGAGAGGCATCTCTCCAATGCCTCGTTTGGGACACAGGGATTTCCACACATGGTCACTGGCTTTGGCTGGCGGTTCCCAAACTTTTTTTGGGCCCCACTGCCCCCTTGGTTCCATAAGTACATCCCTACAACCTTCTACCCCATCAGAAGCATCATGATAAAATTCAATACAGTCATACCTTGGCTCCCGGAAGCGAGCGTTCTGGTTTTTGAATGTTCTTTCGGAAGCCAGACGTCCGACGGGGCTTCCGATTGGCTACAGGAGCTTCCTGCAGCCAATCAGAAGCCGTGTTTTGGAAGTCGAATGTTTCAGAAATCGAACGGCCTTCCGGAACAGATTCTGCTCGACTTCCGAGGTACGACTGTACAGTGATGGTTGATTGCATGTGTATTCCTAATCCAACTATTTGATTTTATTAATTCAATGCAACCGATCACGTGGTTCCTGTCATACTAGATATTGCACAAGAAATATTTTTGCGTGTTCTTGTTAACCCAAACAAAAGGGCGAGAGAAATTCATGGCATGAAATTATTTCTAAATAAGCTGTAGAAGCTTTCCCCCGCCACAGATGTATGACAACTACTTTGAAATAAAATCAATAGCTGTTACCAGTCTTCTCAACCCTCTGAATCCGTAACAGCATCTTTAGTTAAAGCCAGGGATGTCCCCTACCTGAAACTCTGGTGGGGAGTCATTATAATCCTGAACTAGGTAGATCCAAGGAGGTTGGCACCATATGAGGCAGCTTCCTCTTTATAGCTGCCTTTTTTGTTCACAACCTTGAGGACTAGGAACTTGTCGCCTTTTTTCGTGGGGGGGGAGGGCCGCAGCTCAGTGTCAGAGCACCTGCTTTGCATGCAGAAGGCCCCAGGTTAACAATCCTCAAAGGTGGCATCTCTAAGTAGGGCTGCCTCTAAAAACCCTGACTGGGAGTGGCCGCCGAGACCATATAACACTGGTCTTGAAAGGCCTACATTGGCTCCCAGTACGTTTCCAAGCACAATTCAAAGTGTTGGTGTTGACCTTTAAAGCCTTAAACGGCCTCGGCCCAGTATACCTGAAGGAGCGTCTCCACCCCCATCGTTCTGCCCGGACGCTGAGGTCCAGCGCCGAGGGCCTTCTGGTGGTTCCCTCATTGCGAGAAGCTAAGTTACAGGGAACCAGGCAGAGGGCCTTCTCGGTAGTGGCACCCGCCCTGTGGAACGCCCTCCCACCAGATGTCAAAGAGAACAACAACTACCAGACTTTTAGAAGACATCTGAAGGCAGCCCTGTTTAGGGAAGCTTTTAATGTTTGATGTATCACAGTATTTTAATATTGTTTTGGAAGCCGCCCAGAGTGGGGGAAGCCCAGCCAGATTATTATTATTATTATTATTATTATTATTATTATCCGTTGCTGCCGGTCAGTGTAGACAATCGCTGAGCTACATGGGCTCTCCCTATTAAGCAGCCTACCTGCGTCGCATTGAATTTTATCATAGGATCATAGCACTGCAGCTAAAGAATTACGAAGTTTTGGCGGGTGGGCGGAAAATCTGCGTCTGGGCAAAGGCCTCCCACTCCCCCAGTCTGACCCCTCTCAATTCCCTGCCCCATTGCCCAAGGGCTGTAGGGCCGGGAGCCTGGCTGCGAAGGTAAAGAGGGAGGGCTCCAGTGACACGACATCCGTTTCCCCCCTTTGCAGCGGGTGATCCGCAGCCGCAGCCAGTCGATGGATGCTATGGGGCTCAGCGGCAAGAGGCAGAACACCGTCTCCACCAGCCACAGCGGGAGTTTTGGCCACAACAACCCCGACATCGCCAAAGCCGCAGGCATAGTGAGTACCCCCCTCCCCAAACCCCCTGGTTTCCTCCCAAGTCCCTGAATTCCCCACCCCACCCTTCCCCCCTCCTGCCACATCTCCTCCCTAGTAACGCCTGCCCCTTCTTGACCTAGCCGCTCTGAACGCCTCATTCCTCCCCCTCCTTATCTGTGCCCCCCCCAATTAAAAGTCATTTCCCAGATTGACCTTCCCGTCCCCTTGCTTCCTGCGCTGAGCTCCCTTGAAATGAGTTCATTAATAACCGGCCAAGTTTGCCAGCTCCTCACTCATTCAGCAATACATCACCACTTTGGGGAGTGAAATTGACTGGACCAGATTGCAAACAGGGTTTTCTCCTCACCCGGAAGTGAAATTGACTGGACCAGGAACTCCTGGTTATCCGGTCCAGTCAATTTCATTCTTGAAGTGGGAGGGCAGGGAGGAGTTGCTTATGATGTGGTCCAGTCAATTTCACATTATTTGACCATTATGGACTTCTGTAATGGCCTTGGCTCGGTAGTAATGCTATCCCGGAGTCATAGAATCATAGAATGTAGAGTTGGAAAGGACCATGAGGGTCATCTAGTTCAACCCCCTGCAATGCAGGATTTTTTTGCCCACCGTGGGACTCGAACCCATGACCCCCAGATTAAGAGTCTTGTGCTCTGCCAACTGAGCTACCTGCTTTGTGTGCAGAAGGCCCCCAGGTTCAATCCCCTGCAAGCATCTTCAGGTAGAGCTGGGAATCTTAAACCCTAGAAAGCTGCTGCCAGTCAGAGCAGACAGTACTGAGCGAGGTGGATTCCAAAAGCCTGGCTTAGTACAAGGCAGTTTCCTACACAAAGAGCAGCCATTAAGAAGGAAGGGGAAGGGGAAGGGGCAGATTAAATGTGCTTTTCCTCCAAGCCACCCTTGCAGTGAGATTTCCATAAATCCATTTGGCCCTCCCAAGCAGCCGGTTCTCATTGTGGCTGGCGGCAAAGTCATGGCCAAGAGCAGGCACACTTTGGGTGCGGTGCTTGCGAGTGGCCAGTAGGTGGCACCCGCACTCCAGAGCTGGGTCAAAGTTAAGAAATGAAAACAGCTGGGAGTCTCCAAGCAAGACCATGGTATTTCCATGCGCCCCATCACCAACAAAAATAAAATAAAAATGAGCAGTCGGGGGCGGCCTGTTTGGTTCTTATTTTAGATCCAGAGACCTAAGGCTTGCACGTTCTGTTGCTCTGAGCCGATCGGCACGAGATAACCTTAGTCACATGCGGCCCCCGCCTCCCTTTCATGTACTTGCAATCGCTAACTCAAGTGCGCGTACCTCCGAAAGGGTGCAAAAGTCCAATTACTCCACCTCCTGTCTGGGCTGCAAGGACAGCAAGCTGTGGGGTGGGGGGTGGGCCTGGATCAAGGTGGTCACCGCCACGTTCCTGCCCTAGCGCCAGAAGAGGTGGGTACAGGAGGAAGACGCTTGGCACTTTCATCCTACAGTGCCCTGGTTAGGAGCAAGTGGGGGGGTGTTTTGACCCTCCAGATGTTGCAGAGCTCCAACTCCCATCATCCCTTGCGGTGGCTCCTCTTCTGCTAGTAAAGTGTGGGTCTTACAGTGGCTCTGGGTGCCCCACTCCTGTCATATTGCAGTGGGGTTGGATGCCGGTGGCACCGTGGTCTAAACCACTGAGCCTCTTGGGCTTGCCGATCAGAAGGTCAGCGGTTCGAATCCCTGTGACAGGGTGAGCTCCTGTTGCTCGGTCCCTGCTCCTGCCAACCTAGCAGTTTGAAAGCTCGCCAAAGTGCAAGTAGATAAATAGGTACCACTCCGGCGGGAAGGTAAACGGCGTTTCCATGTGCTGCTCTGGTTCGCCAGAAGCGGCCTGGTCATGCTGGCCACATGACCTGGAAGCTGTACGCCAGCTCCCTCGGCCAATAAAGCGAGATGAGCGTTGCAACCCCAGAGTCGTCTGCGACTGGACTTAATGGTCAGGGGTCCCTTTACCTTTACCTGGATTCTTATTCTTATTCTTCTTTGGCTATCCCTCAAAGCTGGGTAAGATTGTCTTCCATAAACACGGTTTTAACAGCGAGTCCATAAGTGACAGTGGAGGCTAATTCTGGATCCACACGTCCTTCCACAGTGGGGACCTAGGTTTCCGGGCGGGAGTTGATCACGGTGTGGATTTGCCAAGCGTGCCTTCCTCTTAGCACGTTTCTCACTTCCGTCCTGAGTTCGAGCGTCTTCAAAGCCCATGACACCTTTGGTAAAGGCTGTTCTCCAATTGGAGCGCTCGCAGGCCAGTGTTCCCTATTTGTCAGTGTTTATACTACATGTTTTTTTTTATTTGACTTAAGAGAGTCTTTAAACTCCTCAACTCTACAATCTTATGATTTATGACCTCTGGCCAGGGGCCATGTTGTTTGGAGCTCATGGGAGTTGGGACTCCAACCTGGAGGGCCAAATTTTCCCCATCCGTCGACTAGACTGTTACTTGCCTTCACTGCCCAGACCAATTTCCATCACAGCTCTGCCTTCCTCTAATGTAGAGATGGAGAACCTCTGGCTTTTCAGCTGAGGTTTGACTCCCCAGCTGGTGGCAGGGACTGATGCGAGATGTACCGTATTTTTCACTCTATAAGACGCACTTTTCCCCCTTCAAAAATTAAGGGGAAATGTGTGTGCGTATTATGGAGCGAATGCAGACTCCTTGGCTTCAGCGATAGCAGCGCAAAGACTCCGAAGCGCAGAAGGAGAGCTCCCCCCGCGCTCCGGAGGCTTCGCGTTGCTTTCGCTGAAGCCACCTGAAGCCCCTGGAGCACTGCAGGAGTTCCTGCGGCGCTCCGGGGGCTTCAGGCAGCTATCCGCAAGCCTTGGGAGCGTAGCAGGAGTTCCCGCTGCGCTCCAAAGGCTTGCAGCTAGCCGCCTGAAGCCTGGAGAGCGAGAGGGGCCGGTGCACACCGATCACTCTTGCTCTCCAGGCTTCGCTTCGCTGGAGAGGCGCTGCACAGTTTTCCCTCTTTGCGCAGCGCCCCTTCAGCGAAGCGGGAGGAGAAATGGAAGGGGCTCCGTTTCTCTTGCCACTTCACTGAAGGGGCACTGAGCAGAGAGGGGGAGAATTTTTTTCCCCCTTTTCTCCCCCTCCTATGGTCCGGTGCGTCCTATAGAGCGAAAAATACGGTGCCGGTAGTTCAGCAGCCTCTGGGGGGGGCCTGAGATTCCCGGCCATTTTTTCCTAGTGGTTGGGGTGGGTAGGTAGCCCAGCTTAGCGGCGGACCGGAGTCCCACGGAGGCACCGTGAACAAGGGTGCTGGGGTCAGGCAGAAGGGTGGCTGGGCACAGATCAGGATGAGGAGCTTGGCGTATGGGGCGGAGAAAAGGGGTCCCTGCTGCCCTATTCCAGACAATACCCACAGCTGCTCCCCATTGCAGACCGCGGGCAAAATCCAGCCAACACCCACCCCCCCAAAATTGCTATTCATACCCCAAACTGACCTGCTGTGACCCAACACGGGGTCCCCCCAAATTGCAGCATTTTGCTCCCTGCTTTCTACCTGCGCCATGGCCGATTCCATGCCCACCCCCTCCACCCGGGACCCCGGCATAGCTGTCAACTTTTCCCTTTTCTTGCGAGGAATCCTATTTGGAATAAGGGAATTTCCCTTTTAAAAAAGGGAAAAGTTGACAGCTATGGGCCCCGGCCTGCCTTTGAGCTTTAGCCATTGTTATGATGACCTGGCACCATTTTGTTTTGCATGACCTCTTTCTTTCTTTCTTTCTCTTTCTCTCTCATTCCTTTGTTCCCCCTCCCTTTCCTCTCCCTGTCCTTTTTTTTCTGCGCTCTCTCTGCCCGCTTACCACAGTCATTGCTTGTCCCCGGAAAAACGCCAACTAGGTACGGACGACGAGGCAGCGCCATAGGCATAGGAACCATAGAAGAGGTGGCTAGTTTTTCTCTCTCTCTCTCTCGGTGTCTCTCTCACTGCCTCTTGCCCTGTGGCTGCCCCCTACCCCCCTCCTGCATGTTGGAGGGGCACACCCCACCCCTGGTACTCCCCATCATCCCTCTAGACCTCCGGTGGGGGGCTGGGGTGCAGGAGGGAACTCCCAGGTTAATAATTCTCGCTCCCTCCTGCAAAAGTATTTTGGTGAAACCGAAAGCTTGCTCACTACTGGGTAGCTTTTCATTCGGTCCTAATAATTTTACTTATGTTTCAATCAGCTTTCGGGGCGGGGGGGAGCAATTAACAACGATTTCTCAAAACAGGATGACAGTACTAAGGTTGTATTGTTATTCTTGTTGTTGCCATAATTATCCCGCCCTCCTTCTGAATCAGATAAGGGGAACCTTCTCGGGAGGGCCTTCTCGGTAGTGGCGCCCGCCCTGTGGAACGCCCTCCCACCAGATGTCAAGGAAATAAACAGCTATCAGACTTTTAGAAGACATCTGAAGGCAACCCTGTATCGGGAAATTTTTAATGTTTTGCCATTTTTTATGTGCTGTAAGCCACCCAGAGTGGTATAAAATTATTATTATTATTATTATTATTATTAGTTGTTGCTGAACTACAGTTCCCATAGGGATTGCCCACCCTCTGCTAGCAATGAAGGGAGCTGTAGTTCAGCAACATCAGGGTGGACCAAAGGTTCTCCCCGCCTGCTGTGTAGGAACCCAGTCTCCCAAGTTTTTCTTGTTAAAAATAAATAACTGAATAAAAGGATTGTGTTAACTGATGGTGGCGTGAGGAGGATGCCAGCCCCACAGAGCAGACTTGTGCCCACCTTGCCATGCTTTTCCATTCACTCGAGCCACATCTTGCCTGACCCTCACCCTTCCTCTTTCCCGCAACTAGGGAGTTCCTCGTTATAAAAGGATCCGTCTTGCATGACTCCCTGTTTCCCCAGCTCAAAAGTGTCACGGAGGGTGCTATAAGATTTGTAGCTGCCTTTGCAGATCCTTCTCTGTATATTCTGCGCCAAGCTTTACCCATATGCCTTTACTCAAGGATGTTGGGTTGCAGGGACTAACCTTCATTGGCCCCGGACTGGCTGAAGCAGACAGAGACAGCCATCTACATTGCAGCCTTAAACAGGCTAAAACTACAGTGGTAACTTGGTTCTCAAACTTCATCCGTTCCAGAAGTCCATTCCAAAACCAAAGCGTTCCAAAACCAAGGCACGCTTTCCCATAGAAAGTAATGCAAAATGGATTAATCCATTCCAGACTTTTAAAAACAATCCCTAAAGCAGCCATTTAACATGAATTTTACTACCTAACGAGACCATTGATCCATAAAATGAAAGCAATAATCAATGTACAGTGGTACCTCGGGTTACAGACGCTTCAGGTTACAGACTCTGCTAACCCAGAAATAGTAAGAAATAGTACTTCGGGTTAAGAACTTTGCTTCAGGATGAGAACATAAATCGCACGGTGGCAGTGCGGCAGCAGCAGGAGGCCCCATTAGCTAAAGTTGTACCTCAGGTTAAGAACAGTTTCAGGTTAAGAACGGACTTCCAGAACAAATTAAGTTCTTAGTCTGAGGTACCACTGTACTGTACTATAAAATAAATAAGACAGTATTGTAGATGATTTTATAAAATTTAATTTTTTTTTTTTTTACCTGCACTGATGATACTTATTGTTTGAATGGGGGGCTTTTATTCATTTCCACAGTCACACAATCAATCGATCAGTAGCT